TATATATGCACTGTGAGCATACTTTCTGGTAAGGCAGGAAAATGTTTGAAATTGTTTGTGTTTCTCTGTGAAATTGTCTAATCATTGGCCTCTGTGCCTCCCTTTTTCTAAGAGGTTCTCAGAGGATGAGAGAGTGAGAATGATTGAGACAAGACTCTGTCTTCATGCTAATAAGCTGTTGAAAGCTGTTCTCAAACTGGCTCCATGAGACAATCTGGCCTTATTAACACGTAGCATCAGCATCTGTCAGAAAAAGAGGAGGCTGTACTCCCAGACACAACGAAACCAAACTAATAAGGAGTGAAAAACTGACATCTCATTTTATCTGCACTGACATATGAACATCCTTGGTAAATAGAGCACAGACACAATCATGAAGATGTATCCACATGCCCTTTTTTTGTCCCAAATTATATTATTATTACACAAATTATATATACGGTTAAATAATTATGGCTGATAATAAATGGTGGTATTGGCCCTACTGATCCAACTATGCCTCTTTATGTTAGACTTTCTCTGACCCAACTGATATTCACTATACAACTGTTCTCATCTTCTGGTCTCACCACTTGAATGTTTTAAATCAGACATAATGTACAATAACTCACTTTAGTTAAGGCCAGACAGCAGCTGAGCTTGCCTGTTGCAGATTCTCCACACGTCTAGCTCTCCATCCATTTTTCTGTCGGCCTTTCTGTCGGTTTAATTGATTAAAGCTGCCCAGCTGGACTGTCTCTCTGTACGAGGCTGTGCAGTCTTACCACTACTGAACTATACTCACACTACCGGCTGCTTATTTTGTCAACTCAAACTAATGAACTGCTCTGTTGCACATTCTTTTAATCATTAATGTCCGAAGTGTTTTAACATTTCTCTTCTTTGATCCAGTATGTTAATGGTCCAACAGTAGCAGCAGCAGTAATGGTAGCTTTCGCCTTTCTCTAGCATTTGTTGGGTGCTGCTAATGGAAAAGAAAATCTGACATGTTTAAACGGGCTCAGGAACTTTATTGATTAAAGCTGGGGAGTCTATCTTGACAGTGTGTCAGTCTGTCTCTGTGGGAGCGAGGCATCAGCTATCAATGTGCTCTGTCAGCAGCAGCGAGGAAGAGAAGGAGTGGGTAATGAAGGAGCAAATTGATGAAAACGGTGAAAGATAGCAAGAAAAAAAAGAGAAAAGATCAGAGATAAAAGACACGATTGAAGAGGTGGAACAAATTGACTGTAAATCTCAGGGATGTCCGATTCTCATCATGCTGTCTCGTTAGGAAAGAACAAAGAACATGTCCAGTGTTCAAAGCTCTTTAGAAATGACACTGATGCAGAAATTTAAGGGGCTTATTTATTTGTTGATCCCATTTAGTGTGCCCTAAAGCGAATTGTCTTCCTGGGGTCCACAATTGAAAACATACATACAGTACATACATTTCAACGTATGTTTAAAAAACATATACTAAACCTTCCATGCTGCTTTCAGACATGCACTGAACTACATTCTCTTTAAATTTTATGGAGGGGTTGTATGCGAGAACATTAATATCCAAATCAGTTGCTCCAGACATTTTGCTGAACCTCTCCTTCAAGCCCTCCTCCGGTAAAATGTCCAAAAAATGTCTGAGTGAGACCTCATGAGAATACAGCAGGATAATGTCAAATAATTCATAGTAAGTGACTGGGCGTGTTGATGACATTTCTATCACACGACAAAAGCAAGACAAACAAAATATCAGGATGTTTGTACATCATGTGCTGCCTGCTGCAGGCTCGACCAAGATGTTAGCCCCTCAACTGAATGTTCCAGACAGTTTCTTTTTGTTTTGAACACGTCTGACCCTGACAGTTTTCTGCTGCGTTCTTCATATGTGAAAGGCAATCTCCTGAAAACCCAATTGTCTTAACATTTTCTGAAGTTCATGTCAGAAAATGGCTTCATGTTTGCACTTTTTAAAATAGATCCCTGCTACATGTGATCAAACACAGCTTAAAAATACATTGAAATATTTTTTTTTCCTGTGAAGGTTTGATTCGAAGTGCTTCAAATCTCAATTAAAAAAACAATACTATTTGCATCTACAGAGATTTGTCATGACTAGACATTACGCTTTCTCTTGTATACAGGTTCACTTGAGGTGAACCTCTCGCTGAATGAGTTTAATATACTCATTGTATGTGAGAAATGGCTACCTACAGAGTGCTTGATGCTTCACAGATGATTACTAAAGGCTAATGATACAGTTATTGCCTTGTGTTTGTTTTTATTTAAGCTTTGGGGCTAAAACACATTTGTCTTTTCATATATGCGATAAAAGATGAAGATAATAGGTTTCCAGGTGCTAAATTATTATAGAGCAGGGAGTCGCTTTTACAACATGGAGAAGCTGAAACCAGTGTGGTAATCAGTCTGGTTAATGCATGCTGTTACTTTTTACAACCCCTTTTTTTCATGGTTTCATTCATCATTCCTAACCAAAGATAACATTTTACTTAGCAGGGTGAATGTAGTGACATGTACACACAGAGGCTCTGTGAGACAAAGGTTTACTTAATGTATATACATAGACAACTATGTTTTTATTTAAGTTTTAGAGAGACCCAAGTTGCTTTTTCTGCAGACTGATGAGAACAAACTGAGCAAGTTAATGAAATATTAGATTTTCTTAACATTTCTTACCTCTTCTCTCTCCAAAGACGATAAAGTTGAAAGCGGAGGCTCGGTTGGACCTTCTACGGCAGGTGGGGGTTGCTGTGGATACCTGGCTGAAAAGTGCCATGAACCAGGTGTGTTTTGTCTGAGTGTTGTAGAAATAGAGTACATGCACTCTATGTATCTTTGTGTGTGTGTGTGTGTGTGTGTGTTTGTGTGTGTGTGCGTGCATGTCTGTTTGCAGTATGTGTATAAAACCCCCTCACTCTCTTTGCATGCTATAGGTGATGGAGGAGTTGGAGAATGAACGTTGGGCCAGCTACACCTCCCACGATCCCTCACTGTCGGTGAGACACGTCCCCTCACTGTGTCTACGTTGCTGCTTTCTCGCCACGCCACAATTTGTATTCGTATGACAACATAAACAACAAAACTCTAGACATAGCATAAATCCAGTTGTTACGACAATTGTCAAAGATACAACTGTTCCGGACTTGGCTGGAAAGTTTCACCTCACAACATAAGTAATAGCTGTTTGTATTGCCTGCATGGTGGCCTCTTTAACTCATACCTTTAGAGGACTAAATTGGGTCGCTGTATGTTAGTCACATAACTTCTATATTGGCTCATCTGTCTTCCCAACAGTAACGTTAAGAAAAGTGCACTCGTCCAAAAGTGTAGTTTTAAACTTTGAGGCAGTGACTCACTATCGTAAACTTTTTTTCTTCTTTGTATTTGAAAACCACCCAGCTAGAATAGTTTTCCTGACAAATCATTTCCAGAATTTTATAAATTGTAAAATAATTGACCAGAGTAACCGTCAGGTTCTCGACCACTTCTGATACCAAGACCCTTCTCCTGACTGCTCAGTGTGGCAGCCCGCTCTAGGAAGAGTCTTGATTGATCCAGACTTCATTCATGAATTATGGAGAACAGTGTGCTCTTGGAAAACTTCAATTCAGCAGATTTATTTTCTCGACACTACCTTGTCTCTGAGCTCTGCAGGCTACTCCTGCGACCTCATGGTTTGGTTTTTACTCTTATAAGAATTGTTGGCTGTGAGACTTTATATATTAATGTTTTTACAGGCAAGAGCCTGAATTTGCAATCACCACAGTTTGACTCAAATCATTTTTCCTTTTTAATATGTTTGCAATTATTTTACACCGGGTGTGGAATGGCAAAGATATATGTTAATATTTTAATTTAAACATAAGGCTGCAACATAATACAATATGAAAGTAAAGGCATCTTCTATTTTCTGAATTCACTGTTTTTGCATCTAAAATGTTGTTTATGAATTTCTGTCTATGCATGTGTCTCTGTCTGCCCATCGCTGAGTGTGTGTGTTTGAAAGTGTGTGTGTGTGTGTGTGTGTGTGTCTGTGTATTTGTGTTTGTGTGTGTGTGTGTCTGTCACAACACTAAACATAGTCGGCCTGCTTCAGAAGCACTTGACATTCTGCTCACATGATATTGCAGCTTGCAGCTGACGCCAGAGAGAAAGAGGTAGAAAGTGTGGAGAGTGAGGGAGAGAAAGAGCGAGAAGGAGGGGTGATAGATGGAGTTGTGCAGTGAGAGAGGGAATGATAGAGAGACAATTACTGAAGAGTGAAGGAGCGAAGAGAAAGGGAGAGAGTAAGCTGAGAAAAAGGAGAGGCAGTGAGATGTGGAGAGTGATAATTCTCAAGTAATATTTGGATACAAAGGTGAGAGAGATGGAGGGGCTGTGAAAAACTGTGAACATAGAAGAAAATGGAAGCTGATACTGTAAAGCCACAGTATGCTGCTAATAAGTATTAAATCTGGCATCTTAGCACGGCAAGGGCACTGTTATGATGAGACCATAAATCCAGTAAAGTAACTAATCCAAGCTTATATAAAAGGAAATTCAATTTCCTTTCATGAAAAACATTGACCGTAAAATTTTCATTGCAGATAAACCAGATATTCATAAACTACATTTCCTAACTTCACTACACAAACAATAGAAAGTGACAGTATATTGTAGAACAGTTGATGGGGACTCATTAATAACAAGGAATATTGTAAAGTAGTTCTGGAGCATTAACACAGACCAAGAGAATTGTCCATTTCAAATAGGCATGTTTAGAACTGGCACTTCCTTCTGGCTGTCGTCTTTATAAGATGAATCAGTTTTGAAGCTGAAAAAAAACCTCCATCAGGTGTGGGTGTTGTTAAAAGAACAGACCAGAGGGCACATTGAGTATGCAGCCGTTCGACAGCAGTTCAACAGCCTCTGATTTTATTTGGAGTGCACTTGAGCCTTAAGAGGCCGACTGTGGGGAAGGGAGAGGCACCAAAATAACGAGGCGCGACAAAGCAAATGATGAGACTGAGCGATGTAGACACGGAGGAAAAGCAGTCTGCTAATTAAGAAGCGGTCAAGAAGTGACCAACCGACAAAGAGAAAGATAAATAAGGATGGATGGATTATGAATAATAATCTAAAGGGGGGGCCGCCGGAAAACAATGAGAGCTGGGAGCAGGAGCATCCCTTGGCCCTTACTTCATTCCACTCAGCTTTATTAATACGACCATGAAATTCTGTACGCCACGAACCCTAAAGTCCCTCAGGCAGTCACTTCCTTCATTACAATATCACTTTCACAGTTATTACCTCTAGGACCAATAAAATCTGTGATTGGTCTGTATCTCAGCTGTATTGGTACACAGACGCTGACGTGTTTTTTTTGGCAAATTCTATTGGGTTATTACTGAAATACATGCTGGTCATTTTACCTCATGGACAGAATGGAATTGACTCTTGGGCCGTGCAGTGTGATTTTAAATCAGTAATGTAAAGAAGAATATAAACCAATAAACATGCAGACGACAAACCATTTGTATCTCCCCAACCACTTACATAGTTCATGGCTGTGTCCGAAGTCACACTCTATTTATGTTATAAGAAGAGTCATTGTGTTTTATTTGTTGCATCCAGAGGAAATAATCAGCACTGAGCCCTGTAGCTGCTGTGTACCTCCTGCTAACAGGCCGCAGCACATACCCCCCTTATCTGAATGAACAAAATCTGAGTGTGCAACATGTACGCTATTGCCTATGTAAACTTGACTGTACCGTACATGCCCCTCTCAGGATGAACTGTAATAACCCTCATGATCACTGATCTTTCCTTGATTGTGTTAGAGACAATTCAAAGGAATCTGAGAATAAAGTTGTTAATGTAAGAAAAGCCATAATATTATGAGAATAAATACCATTATTTTAAGCTACGTGTCATGTTAGAGGGGGAATATCAGAAGATCATTCTATCACAAGTTACAATGAGAATTGTGGAGCATCTTGTTGAGTTATACTATCGTATTATTTTCACAAATAACTCATGGCTTATAAACACCACACTATCATAAGTATCAAGACTTTGAGAATGTTTCTGAAGAAAGAACCACAGAGACTGGTAGGAAATTTAGCAGTGGTTGAATGTGAGGTTTATCATTGGTCACATCATAGTCTCTCAAGAATCAATGAGATTGGTTCGAGATTTTGGATCCAGACGGAGTGAAACTGTGGTGACAACAGACTTTCCTTGCTGCTTATTTCCTTTTATTCTCTTTCTCAAATTAAATTACGACTCTTTGTTATTGTGTAACGTTATGACTTTCTTCTCATTTGACCCTAATACTCCTCAGTACTAGTGCCACCATTAGGGCAAAACTGAAATGAGCTAAATACTATACATATAAAATCCCTGACCAAATACAGTTCATTCAGCCTCAGCTATACTTGTGGTGTTTTGTGCTATTTAATTGTGCTTAGCAAAGATGGTGAACATGGTAAATGACAAATCTTCTAAACATAAGCATGTTAGCATTACGATTGTAAGCATGTTAGCATGGCCTTTAATGTCACAAACTTTTAAATGTTTTTGAAGAGAAGCAACAAACACAAAAGCTTAAAGTGTGTGTTTCAGATAAGGCTCTTTGGTTACCATGGAGAACGTTAATATTTAATAGCCTTTTATATTTCCATGGAGAATAGATTCCTCTGTTGAAGAGATCAACTCATATACAAAACACACACATCTGTTTTGTGCCACACTGTGTCAGTTTACTGTGTCAACAGTAATCTGATGACTCAACACGATGACCTAGGAATGGATAAACACACACACACACACACACACACACACACACACACACACACACACACACTCCTTTGTTGTGGTCAGGGCAGCTTGCTGTGTGTGATGGATCTTTCTACCAGAAAGATCACATGACCTTCATATAAGCCAGTGAAATTGTGGTGCAACAAAAGAGGGAGGGGTCGGATCATATGTAACACTAGTCCCTCCACACCTGTCCCTCTCCCAAGCTGTAGTACCCTCACTAAGGGAGAAAGAGACACTCCGACAGGACAAGAGGTAAAAACAAGGCTGGTATAGTTTGGTTTGTGAAACTATAGCATGGAGGAACTTGCAAATGGTGAAGAAAATCAGGAAAGGTTTTGGTGGTTCTAAAATGTAAGCTTAATCAATTTTATTTAACAACTTAGCCAAACTTGAACAATTACATTTTTTCATTATCTTGCATTATTTATTGAATATCCAATAGATTTTTTTGCATTGGGGCAGCTTTTTGTTCATTTGATTTGGGATAGAAAAAGTTTCCGCTGGAGGTGGAGTTTTCCACATCAGAGGTTAATAGAGCTTTTCATTTTTGTCCTTGAAGTTATCAGTGTTATCTGTTTTCACTCTATCTGGCTGTATTTGTGTTTATGTGTTAAAGGGCACAGTGGACTTGGAGCGTGAGGAGGGCGAAGAGTGTGAGGAGAATATGGAGGTTTTTGACGACAGCAGCTCCAGTCCTTCAGGGACCCTTCGAAACTACCCGCTCACCTGTAAAGTCCTGTACTCGTACAAGGTAGGAAAGGACACACACATATACACACATACAGAGTTAGCCATGTGCAGATTCTGGCTCCAAATACACAAGATGGCGGCATTCGTATATGGCATTTTTCCGCTTCATTTCTGGATAGTGGGAGGAGGTCTAGACGCATCTTCATATAGAGTCTATGCTTTTTACTATACCATACAGTATTAGTGCCTTGTAAACGAACAATAAGACACATGAATTAGTATGAATGTTACAGCTACATATATCGTCATTCATAGATTAACCTGATTTTCACCCAACTTTCTCCCTCTCATGTTCCTCCTTATTCTCTCCATTATTTTTTAACACTGGTGGTGTGTGTCTCTCTCCCATGCAGGCCTCTCAGCCAGACGAGTTAACCATTGATGAACAGGAGATGCTGGAGGTCATTGAGGATGGAGACATGGAGGACTGGGTCAAGGTGAACAAACACAACAGGCATTATCTCATCTGCTCTGTGTTACATACTTTGTGTCTGCTTTTCTTTTAGATGTGTATGTTAGTTGTGTGTGTGAGTGTGTGTGTGTGTGTGTGTGTGTGTGTGTGTGTGTGTGTGTGTGTGTGTGTTTTTCTCCCTACCTACTTGTCCATTGTGTGTAATTTAATATGTGCATGTTTGCATTTGCGAATGCTCCTCATTGTGTTTGTTTCACAGGCTCGAAATAAGACGGGCAATGTTGGCTACGTCCCAGAGAAGTACCTGCAGTTTCCAACCTCCAACAGTCTCCTTAGCATGCTCCAGTCTCTGGCTACGCTCGACGCTCGATCACACACCTCATCCAACTCAACTGAGCCAGAGCTGCACTCTGGCTGCATCAATGGAGATATAAACAGTGAGTACAATGAAACTTGGTAAAGATAAATTATTCTTTGAAATGATTAAACTGCATGCCAGAGGTTTCAGGAAAAACAAGCTCACTAATGTAAATTAGTTTGTTCTTTTACCTATAGTGAAGTTATTACGTGCCACTAACAGAAGGATTTTTCTCTTGACTGCTTCATTAAATTCCAACTACAGAAAACACAGATTTTACTAAGCAGGGTGTTAGATGAAAGAGTGAGTGCAGGGGTCATCCACTGACCCTTGCTGGGTGAAATTAAAGTGAAATTATAGCATAAAGCAAAGAATAAAAGAGGAATATGGAAGTTTTGTCCATCCCAATTTTATTTCTTTGAATTATATATAAAGCAATTAGTGGTTGTTGGCGATCGACAAGCAGACAGCATAGAAAGAACCAGGCCCTGTGCTGCATTTAAAAGCAAATTAAGCTGCTGAAAACAAGCTGAGAGCTGAAATTCAGAACATTCTCTATCAAAGTGTATGAGATGGATTTTCGAAAAACTTCTTAAAAGATGATTTCACATTTACATTTCCTGATTGGTATGGGTGTTTTTTTCTCTGCTACCAAAGATTGTCATCTCTTCTGCAATTAAAAATCTTGAACTGTCATTTTCATTCTTTATTCTTCCCTCATAATTTACTGTTTTCTTTTTTCTTCCACTCTTCTTTCACCCACTCTTTGTTTATTCTCTTTACGCTACCTGAATATTTGGATGAAGCTCATCCTGACAACTAATTACTGTTCTGTCTTTCTGTCTCTGTATCTCTCTCTCTCCAGCAGTGTGTACTATTCTCTTTATGACAATAACAGCCAGGCAGACAAGAAACTGCATTCCCCCAAAAATAATTACTTTTTCTGTGTATTTCTTGCTACTCTCTCTCTCTCTCTCTTTTTCTCCTCTCTTTCTCTGCAGCGGTGTATGTTCGTGCACTTTACGATTACGAGGGCCAGGCCGAAGAGGAGCTCTCTTTCTGCGAGGGGGCTGTGATCCGCCTGCTGAGCCGTGACACGCAGACAGATGATGGTTTCTGGGAGGGGGAGCTCAACGGACGGGTGGGCGTCTTCCCCTCAGTACTGGTGGAAGATTTCACTGAGAATGGGGAGAGCAGCGGAGGAGGAGGAGGAGGGGCAGGTGACATACAGGTACAGTAGCACAGGGATAAGTGTCACAGGCTACATCCTTACACCTGGCCTCCAACATGGATAATCAATTAGAAATGTTTCTGATCCTGTTGTGTAGTTAAATCTGCATTTTACAAAGTTACAACTGTTTACATATGTAGGACGAGAGCTTTTATTCAAGCAATTTGTGACAATCTCTGTGTCCAGCAGGACACACATGCCTTCCTGTTAACAGCAACACACATGTGTACGTGATATTAGTTTTCAGGCAGTTAGTATGGATAGAGATTAAAACTGATTCAGAGCCAAAGCGCTTGTGTGGAGAGAGATTGTTTTAGTTTGAAAACATGGTGGATGTGGCCTCAGATGACACACACAACAACATGTAACTAAGTGGAAACCCTCAGGAAAGCAGATTTTAAATTGGAGACATAGTCCCAGTGAAGTAACACACAGATATTCAGCACCTCATTCCTGAGCTAAGCTGGAAATCTGCTCTTATCAGTCTTTCCTCAGGGCAGAAATACCAAGGGTAGAGTGTAGTCTCCTGTGCCACATTCTCCTTCCCACTCCCTTCCTGCCTGTTGTTCAGTTGATCTATCAGCAGGACAGAGTTCACAAACAGTGGATCAGTGCTGCCATGTTCCTGCAGCGCTCTGATAAAAACCCTGCAGTGCAATCAAAGACTGAGGTCTTATCTGTGCCAGAGTGCTGCCCTATTAGAGGCTCTGCAACAGGAAGGATACAGCCTCTCCCTTCCTTTCAGCCTGGAGTCATAACAATCTTAATTTCTTTAAAGTCTTATGCGGTTGAGATGATTAAAAAAATCTGACTCCTCTTGGTTGTGAGCTAGAAAACATTCAAGGTGTGTGCAGTAGCATGTCACACTTCAGATGAGTATAACCAGCAATATTT